CATTTATCAACGCTACATTTGAGTTTATAGTTCCTAGAATATTTGTTATTGTTTGGTCTAAAGTAAAACAAGTAAACAGATAAATAATTATAAATCGTGATTAAACCTTTGCTCAGCGCCTTTGAAAAATATTCATGCAATACGCCATAAAAGTCAAAGATGGCTAAATCGAATCAAGATCAAGACTTAACATTTGTATGTTTATGCTCCATAAAACGCGTATTCGGCAACATCGATTTCAACGTTTTATTTTTTACCGATATATTAAATAAATAATTTATGACACATGTACTGCATTGAGTTATATGTACTACGTACATATAACTCATAGTACATATAACTCAATGCACGAGGCACAATAAAGGATCGCCATAATACCTAATCTATCAATTTATTCAGTTACGTATGTGTTACAGTAAATGTAACACTCATACTTATGCTTATTTCTTAAGCACTAAAGGCTGATTTACATGGGGTCAGTAACAGGCGCCACTGCTGGCGCCGAGGACTGTCTCGCACTGTCTACACCAGTGTGACCATATGTGGCAGGTTCCTGCCATTTCGGCAGGATTGGCCTCTTATTTTAGCCTGTGGCATGATCGGTTGACGTTTTATAAAACCTGGCAGTATTTGGCAGAATTGGGGTATTAAAAATATATGTCATTATGGCACCTTAAAATGACGAAAATGGCAACCCTAGATCCTTCGCCAGCATAATTATTGGGGATTTCCCTGTATTTCTCGATCAAAAAAAGATGCTAAGGATGAATCCAGCCTGCGCAACTGCAAATTGGCTCCCCGTGTGCGAGCTTAAAGGAGCATGCCGCTACTAGTAAACATCAAAAAATATGAGTGGATTCAACATGCGAAAGAATATTCTCTCAAATAAATTTAATTAAGACAAAACACAAAACAATATATATAAACAAACATTTAGCGTCTATCTTGTACGTTAAACAAGGCATTGGTGAGCATGGCGATTGCATTGCTTTCGAACCAACGAAAGATATTACGTTTAATATTAATTTAAAAGAATATAACATTTATACGTGTATTTTGACTTTTCTTAGTTTAATACAATGGTAAATAAAATTGGCAGTATTTAGGCATTTTTCACAACAGATTTTGGCAGGATTTGGCAGGTTTTTAACCAAAGTATGGCAGGATCTGTATTTTAAATATGGTCACACTGGTCTACACGCAGTCGGTAGTCGTGGTAATTTCTTTAGGGCGTACGCACGTTATTGAAGTCAGTAGGCAAAAATGAAATCACGGAAACGGCAGAATTTACAACGATTAAAATATTTGTATGAGAAAATATTCCTGCTGTTGAAAGAGTTGACGCAAACGTTAGAAGAAGAGATATATAAAAATAAACGTCTTTGCATAAGGAAATAGACGACAGAAAATAAACTGGAGGTTCTGCTTTGTTGTCAAATCAATTGAGATTTGAAGATCCTGCAGAATTCGAACTAGCTTTGACAATAACGCCGAAGAATTTTAACGAATTTATTTCATTGATAACAAGCTTTATTCAACGTAAAGATACATTCATGAGTGATGCTTTACCAGCTAAAATAAAACACGAAATAATACTGATATTTTTGGCTTCAGGATTATCATTTCGAAACCTCAGTCACTTTTATCGTGTATCGAAATCATCTAATTCTCTTTTAATACCAGGAGTATGCTGGGCAATATATGCAACATTGAAAATACAAATTATAGGTTATTTATTAGGGATAATCAAAAAAATTACAGTCACATACAATCAATATAGTTCTAAGAATTTTCAAGTAAATTATGTTAGTTTCATTGTTGCTTTCACGCCAAACTTCAAGATTCTGTTACTGGCGGATGTAATGATTACTTGCTTATGGTCCTACATATCTAGGATTAATCGAAGTTCACTCGGGTAGATAAAATCCCAAAGAGCTGCTTCTTGAGGCATGCATCTCAGCAGGCTCAGTCCGATAAATTCCCAAAGAACTGCTGCTTGTAACTACATAACGTAGTCATAGAAATGTACTGCATTTTTATGAATATAAATTATATTATAATTAATATAAATAAATGTATCATGCAAGCTTTCAGTAATTTATAAAACGCGTTCATTTACCCTCATTTACTAACCTATATATTTTATAATTTTATGATACGACGCGATGTAACCCTACAATACTACGCTAGCGACTGACTAGTGACCAAGCACTGACTTGGTCGTTTAGACAAGGTCAATATCGCTGGCGCGAGTGGCGGGGGAGTGGAGTGACTGCAAAATATTCAACCAGGAATATTGAAGTCGGCACTGGCGTGACAGTGCGGTAATGACTCCAAATCAATTTACATTATGCCAGTAGCGGGTCAGCACTGACTTGCCTCGAATTTGGAGCCAGTTACTGTCCCTCTGTAAATTCAGCCATAATATTAAAAACTGAGTTCAAATTTATTAATAGTCAAGATCACAGCACACCTCACAAACTTAACTATTGTAGATTTATATGTCGCAGGGATATAGCTAACCGGTTCATAGCTATCTTAGGTACTAGACTAATCTAGTGAAATAATTATAATTGTAATCTGAATGCACATGAGGAACAAACTTCGCGACTTTGACGTTCCTGTTGTTCATGTTCTTTTTTTGACAGTAGATTAAGGTGCGGCTGGGGTGGCCTAATGGCTTAATAGCCACCCTAAGGCCCGCCATATACATACGGAATTCCGTTTCGAGATTCCGTTTCGGAATTTCGAACGGTCGGCCACACACAAACGGAATCCCGTTTTGCCCGCAAAATTTCGAACGGAAAACTACCGTACGTGTGTGACGGGTCATAGATTTTATATGGACTTGCTGCGTTCGGGATTACGAATCGGAATATCGAAACGGAATCCCGAAACGTAATTCCGTATGTATGTGGCCAGCCTAAAGGCGCGTACATTATAACGATATAAAATGTAATATTGAAAGAATTTAACTTTTTAATTTCAAAAATTCAAAAGTATAAGACAAAAGTACTTTTGACTAACAAATTACAAACAAACTACCGTTATAATTATTTCACTAGATTAGTCTAGTAAAATAGTTATGAACCGCTTTCATATAACTATATCATGGCCTTAACTATCTTACTGCGATATATAGATTTCGAAGTATATAACCGCGTTCCGACGACACGCACCCGCTACGCGCACGACACGCGCGTCAGCAACCGCGTCTAACTCGCTTTGAAATTTGTTGCATATAATTTGAGTCTTATGACAAATCAATAAATCTGAAATTGTATAAAAAGCGCGGGCGCAAGACGTAGCGGGGCCGGATGCGGGGCATGTGCGGAGCGAACGCGGGGCCGGCGCGGAGCGGGAACGAGGCGGGCGCGTGGCGTGGACGAGGCGTGTGCGGTTGAACGTCGATAAATGCCTAATACCTTGACGTAATGCACCATTTTAAAGCAACGAAAATAAATCTTTTGAAAAATGTAAAATACAATTTTTTTAAACTTAAACTCGCAAAATATTATTTATTGTCCTAATTATGCCATGTATATAACGTATGTTTACTTATAAAAATACCTATAAGCCCGTTCCTCGTGATTAATGTCGTAGTCAATGTCGAACTATTGTCTTCTGTTTAAACAAGATTGTAGATTACAAAGACTTAAGATATTAATAACAAACTGTAGTAATTGAATATAGAACACGTAATTACAAGTACGAGTAATTTAATATAGAATACTAGTGATATAACAATTTAGAAAATTGAATATCTTACAAAAATGAGAACAGAATATAAAGAAAAAATTCCTCACTATACCTGTGCTGTTTTTATCGTATCACTTAATTAATAAGACAATCACTTTTGTTCAATGTACACCTGCAAAATGAGTATCAAAAAACATTGAAAATGAATTAGCCGTAGCTCATTAATAATTCCACAAAACAAGCACGTCACGAGAACCTGTCGCGTAATTAAAGCAAGGCACGATATGGATTGTGTGAACGTAATTTGACCTAATTTCAACTGTTTTGTCAATTTATATTGTTCATATTTTTACCGTACTAGTTTTCCATCACTTATTAAATTAATTTAATTTTACTAAGTAGGCAGTTAAGTGACTCCGTAGTGGTAGCACAAAAGGATTGCCAGTTAATGTCGTGGGTGTCGTAAGAGGCAACAAAGGGAACCAGAATAATTATTAGTAGGCTTGTTTTGGTGTTTTGTGTGTACAGAGGTACAGTTGGAAAGCCATTTGAGTTATGAAAATAGTTGCAGAATTGTCTGTTATATTTGCAAAAGTTGTCACACAAAAAAAAACTGTACTTGACTATTCACCCCGTGTTTATTTCAGAATTTACAGTTGTTATCAGGATGATGCTGCGCCCATCTCCTGTTTCAGTTTCTCTCTTTAGCTTTTTACGCCACACCACCTATCACCACAACAATATAGGTTCCTAAATGGCCGAAATTTCCTTACCGTTTTCTTTGTAATTTTTAAACATATTTGTATTTAAACACGCGCGTGATTTTATAACCTACTAGCTGTGCCCCGCGGTTTCACTCGCATATTATTTAAGGAATTATTGATTGATTAATTGATTTATAGTACATCAGTATAGACAATGTTTTTAGTGAATTTTTCATTTGGTATTTATACATTTGGTAAATATATTACATTTGGTAAATATATTGCATTTCACCGCATCCTGTTCTAGATAATCCAACATAAATCTTATATTTATCCCCACGTGCTTGAAAGTATGTCCCTGTGCTTTATTTATAGTTACTGCAAAGTATACTTTTATGGGAAATTGTATTCATTTAAAACTAAAAGGCAAATCTGTATGTATCATAAGAATTCGAGGTATACAGTACCGTTTGCCCAACTGCTGGTCCAGTCAAAACTATAGCAACTATGATATTGTTTCTAAGAAATTTAACTTGAAGCCTAGTTCTGTTACATAGACTTGGTAGCCGCAGGTTTCGTAATGAAATAATGGGAGTGTCACTTTTTAAGTTCATGTGGGGGCAGCCCATAAGGATTCAAAGAATTTAAAAACTCTTGAGGGTAATGTACCGCGTCTTCTTGATCCACGACAGTATCAATAGCAAGGTAGTTTATGTTGTCGCCTGGTAATTTAGCCATTATTTTATCGTTGATGGCGTCAACGCTCGTATTTTTGACAGTTAAAACTGCCCTTTCCCACATCCATTGATATTTTTTTCTAGAGATTAGGTCTTCAGTGTTGGTTACGATTTCACCAAGGTCTTTATCAATATTGTTTTTTTCGGTTGACTCAGGTACTTTTCCATTACCAATCAATAACAGCTTTTTTGGGAAATCTGTGTTTCCTCTACCCAATTGACTCCACATGTTGGTATATAGCTTCAAGAATTCAACAGATTTCTTCAAATGGGACGATTTTATTCAAGATTTAATAATATCTACTCTAGCGCCCCTAACTATTACAGGCACAGTTTGTCTTACTTTATTTGTGCTCGTTATGTCGTATGAGCTCTATGAGTCATGGTGCACTCATCCTATATTATAAGACTGGCATCTTGCAAGATTTTACCCCACGGGCCATTTTTACGAACAGAACACACACTGTTTCGTTCAAGTGACACAGTAAGTGGCAATTTAAAAGTAGAATGAGCCGTTCTCCTGTCTGTCAACAGTGTAGCACCAATATCTGACTACGCAACGGCAATGGCAATTTTTCCCTGTGACATTGGAACTTATAAATTTTTATAGGTAAGTAGGTACACATAGGTCAATATTTATTAAAAATAAGTATTTACAACGAACTATTAAAACAACCATAAACTTGTTTGTAATGTTTTTCTTTATACCACTAACTATGTAAACAAACCTATAGAGACAAAAGAAAACAGAAAATAAATTTTAATTGTACACCTGCCCACGTACTTCGTAATTAACTACAAATTTAACAAAATAATTACCTACTGTTATTAGGGGAAAAATAATGAAGCTATACCATGTACATACCCTAAATATATCCTAAACTTATTTCAATAGACCTATGAGACAAAACAAAACAATCATGAATTAATCAACCAGTATCTATTACCACTACCATAATAACCTAACTTAGTACTAACCAACAAATAGAAAATAATTAAGTATTATGATTATTTATAAATTAACCGTTCAGAACGACCTTAATTGTATATTAACCCTTAACTGGTATCGGGGGTCACAAATCACCCTAAGCGAACACATTCCTCATCATATCTTTCCAGTCTAACCACGCACAACATTGCGCGTCTATGTAATCTCAGTACGTCGCGAGGTGCGGCGGGTGAAGGACGTTCGTCACTCTGCTATCGCTGGAAGCGGAGGTATGTACACTGCTGGGGTCAAAAATCACCCCCGATACCAAAAGTGTTAATTTTGTTGTAAAAGCATTGTGTAACATTTTATCTTTTTTTTTAGGCCTTAATCTATATGTAAATCAAATTGCACAACATTTGGAAGACGAAGATAAAAAATGTAATTCAGAAACCGACCAAAATACCACAACAGCAGTCTGTAACGATGAAGACATTAGTGATTGTGACGAAGCGGAGATAGTCAGCTGTTCTGCAGAAAGTACATTAGGTACAGATTTCAATTTTTCAAGTTCAAGCAGTGAGGAAGAAGAAGAAACTACACAAACTCCTGGTTTCTATAGGGGTAAAAATAGATTCAAGTGGTCTAAAAATCGCTTTAAATCTGATCTGAGAAATTGGAAGATTCTTTCTGTCTAATTTGCACAAATGGTGTTACTAACTTAATTCCAATATTTTTTATATATTTATTTCTTTTTAGACGCATATCTGGATTTGCTGCATTCCACAAAACGTAACCGTTTACCATCGAAATATTCAGGATAGCCGAAAATATAACGCATGGCCATCGTTGAGTTCTCCTGGCTACAGAATAGTTTGCACATTTTGATCAAGGGCATCTACGCCTCCTTTTGTGGTATTGTAAAAAAATATGATCTCCGGATTTCCGCTTTCAGGATCAATGGATTGATAGTGGTGTATGGTGGAAATCATAACAATACTCTTGTTTCTTTGCGGAACATACGACGCCAGTGTTTTATCGTTGGTAAATTTGAATAAAGTGGAGCCTTCAGGACGCGTTTTATGTGGCAAAAATTCAGGCGGCACCTCAAGTTTGTTTTTCCGCATAGTTCCAACATACGTCAAGCCAATTTCTTTCTGTTTGTCAACCAGCTCAACCGATGGAAACCAGTTATCACCTGTAATATTTCTGTGAGTTCTCTTCACAGGATCAGCCAACATCAAAACAGTTTGTTAAGTTACAGAAAATCACCAAAAAAAATGTATATGACGGCACGTGCACCATTGCACGTGCCGTCATATACATTTTTTTCATATACTTTAAAAATAAAAACTTTTTCTGAATACGCTCTAAGCGTGCTTTATAAACTTCGTATAAAGGCGACCATACCGGACTAGCGTACTCCAATATGCTTCTCACGTATGCAAAATATAACGTTTTTAATGCTAAAGTACTTTTAAACGGTTGACAGGTTCTTAGAACAAATCCAAGCATACGGTAAGCTTTATCTGCTATATTATTATAATGCATATTAAGGAGCATCTTGGAGTCAAAACAAACGCCGAGATCACGTACATCATTGACTCGTGTTAATACTTGAATATTAAAGTTATAAGAGAAAACAATTGGATTTTTCTTGCGCGTATGTAAAGCTTATAATCTGACATTTTTTTAATATTGACATAGATCTTATTTTGTTGATAAAAAGAAAACAAGTTATCCAAGTCATATTGTAACAATCTACAATCTTCAACAGAACGAACTGCCCGGTATATTTTTTTATCATCCGCATATAATAGGTGATTAGAATGAGAAAAACAGTTGGCAATGTCAAAGATGTACGCATTGTAGAATAGCGGGCCAAGGTGCGATCCCTGTGGGACACCTGAGGGAACAGTTACATAATCGGATCTGTATCCATGTAATACTAAACGTTACGCCACCGCACGCGGATAAAGCAGTTAGAGAGCGCCTTTTCTTCCGACTTGCTGAACAAAAGTCAATATTTAAGGCTAACTGAGAGATAGGCCTATAATATTTATTTCTCATGAATATGGCTATTATATAGAAAAATAATTTTTCAAATCGGACTTTTCCAGAGATTATCGCGTTTAAACAAACAAAAAAACTCTTGCGCTTTATCATATTAGTAAGTATAAAGTAAAGTATAGATGATAACATATTATTATGTCGTGTTGTTAGTGTTATCCGTTACTATTATTTTTTATATCCTATAATGTATTTTGGTTTAAATTAAAGTAATCTCCTTTAGCCGCTCGCTTGCTTCTGGCAATGATCATTTCTAATACGAAAACTCGAACTTTGCTCTTGGCAACGATCGTTTCCAAAATTTTTTTTTTATTGAACGAAGCTACTCTATTTTAAATTCTTTTCAAAACGTTTGTAAACCATAGTCTAATAGATTATCTAACATCTGGGCGCAAGATTGCAATATAATACAACGAATTTTTTTTGTACAATTACGAAGTGAAGTTTGTAGTCGCCGTTTTATGATTATTTGTGCTCAGCGTCATTGTGTGCTCTGTTGTGCTTCGTCGAATGCGTCTTCGTTGAAGTTATATGTTTACGTATTTTAAAGTGGTAATTTATCGTAATTACTTACAACTGCGGGAAACTATTTGCGAAATAATAAAGTTAGACATAATTTTAATCATAAAAGGTAAAATGGCCATATAATATCTTTAAGGTGTGCTTGGTATACATGAATATTGGCGACAAGTACTTACGTTGTCACGAAGTATTGTAGAAAGCAAAGTAAGTTTCACCGCAAAGGGTTGGCACAAATAGCGTGCGGCTTTTCTCATTTTTTGTTTATTTTATTATAATTTTTTTTTTGGAACGAAGTTCTTTTTTTTTGTGAAAGAACTAAAAATATGATTTTAATTTAAAAAAAATCTATTTATTGTATTATAAATTGTATTTAAGTGGTGGTGTAGCTTGTAGAGGGAGGGGGCCAAGAGTTAGAGGGGGAGGGGAAATTAAAAAAATTATCAATAAACAAGTTTAAATGTTTTATTAAAGAACATTTGTACATAAGGGGTTATTATAATATCATACATAAATGAAGATACATATATGAAATCTCTGGAAATGAGGTGATCGCCACCATGCTGGTTCTATTAAAATTCATTTAAAAACTGTACTAACAAAATTATTGTAAAGTGAAATATGGTTAAAAAAATGTCCCGCTGGGTTTCTTGCTAGTTCTTCCCAGGACAGAGGTATTTTCCGAACCAGCGGTAAATAAAAAAATAACTTTCAATAAGTATTATGTAATAATCTATATTGAATAAAGATTATTCTATTCTATTATATTAAAAAGCAATCATTATTAATTGCTGAGCTCTACAAGAGTAAATTTAAATAACGCAGTATTATTAAAATATATTTGTTAACATTCTTTGAAGTTTTATTCTAACCCGGTATGTAAAATCAATTATTTGGTCAGGCGCAACCCTAGCTTATACAACATCCATCTTCCGAGTTTTGGGGCTCGTTGAAAGTCGTTGCGAGATTTTAGACTGAAAGTCGTCGTAAGTGTCAGTTTTTAATTTAATATAAATCTAACAATATTTATCCGCTTTTAGCTATAAAAATAAACTATGGGATTAGAACTATTCATTACATGATTTAAACTGGTTAAATGAAAGCACAGTATCGTCGTAATTGTAGTTTGAAATCTATTCCTTTAAAATTAAATTTACCTTAGGGTTTTTGCCACATATCTCAGGAGTTTTTATACCTATGGATTTTTTAAATATTTTTATTAAGGCTAATAAACTGGTCTTTATTATCGTGAGTATATTTTGTTCTAGGTTTTATGGTTGTTGTGTAAATCGGCGATGATTGTCCGTCTAGTTACGAGTATATTGGTGAATTGTGCAACGGCGTGTAGATTCTTTTATTGTTTTTATGAAAATTTTCTACCACACTTGTTATTGTTTCTCATTCAGTGGAACAAATAACTATTTTAGTTTATAAAAATGATGAAAAGCTATAATAACAATAAGTTCTTTATTTCCAAAAGGCAGTGCAAAAGGTAGTATAATAGTAATAATTTATTTCTTCAATCTTGTCTTAAACTTGTCCCCTTTACCCACGGTTTGCTCCCTAGGGCAGAATTAAACTGGCTTAGTGGGGTTGCTATTGCTGTTGAAGTACAGTACTGAGATTGCCCGGAGAAACTTTGCCGGAGTTTAATACGACAGCTGCGGTATCAATACAAATAGTTTCGTAGGACGCCATTCGCCTGCCTGTTA